GAAAAGGCATTGAGGATTTGCAGAGCCGCCGATAATCTTGCAAACTTATCAGATTCAAAACATTGTTTCATTCTATCAGCAAACAGTAACTTTGCTTTATTAAGGCTATACATTATACATAAAGGGATCCTATATTTTAGTTTGTATTTTAAAAAAATTAAAATTCACGTAACAATTAGGTTTGGCCATTATAAATGACGTCATTGTGAGTAACTTGACATTGGTTGCTGCACACGAGGGAATTAGGCTAAGAGTTACATCGACACACATAAAAACGAAACACGTGCAACCATTTCTCCCAAAGTCTTTCTCCTAAAACCAAAGAGTCTCCTATAGGAGCGAGATAAGCGGAACGAGATTAGCGGAGCAAGATTAGCGAATTCTTAGTAGATTAGCGAATGCAGTGGATATCGGAACAATATCGGAAGACACAGAAGCTAAAAGTTTGTGATAAAGATCATGAAGACAAGGTGACAAGGTAACATGTTTGAAAGTATATATATATATATATATATATATATATATATATATAGAGAGAGAGAGAGAGATAGATAGATAGATAGATAGATAGATAGATAGATAGATAGATAGGAAGCACGGTGGAGTAGTGGATAGCGGCTCGAATTCCAGTCGAATCCATTACATTCACTTATGTTCTAATACCCTTGGGAAAGGTATTAATCCTCTTTTTCTCTCCCAAGCTATTGGTAAATAGCAGACTGGGTTTTATAGCCTTGAGTGGCAACTGGTCTAGGAAAAGTACGACTCGGAATTCAAAACCTACGGAGTGTTGTGTGAGGACCTTGTGGCACGTAGTAAACCAGGTCTCTGTTTTCGGACCTTTAAAAAGTGCGGTTGGTTCACAAAACCTTCACCAATATAATCAAATCTTATGTGCTAGTGTCTGGCTGTCGGTTCCTAGGAACTGAGCCGCTTGACCCTAATACGATGGGAGAGTCCACCACCATATATATACACACACATATATATATATATATATATATATATATATATATATATATTGTGTATTCAGGCAGCAATCCTTCATTTATACATGTGTTATTAAAGACGACAGATAATTTTGTTTGAACAAGTGTTTTCTTTTCTGGATACAAAGTGTGTAGAAACTGTCTTAATGCTCTGTAATTCCGGGCGATTTTGACTATACTTTCAAAAATTATTTTATTTTTGCTTTTTTATTGGGTGTATTGGCTGTGTCTGTATTTCTCGTGTTATAGGGATGTTTTATTTTCCGAATACAGCTAGTGCATTGCGGCCGTGTTCGTAGTTAATCTGATTGAGCGTTGTTTTTTTTTTTTTTTTTTTTTTCTCGTTTTTATTATATGTAATTTTGTGCGTGCGTAAATACGTTTTTTAAATTTTGTATCAGAGTAGGCAAGATTTATTTTTTATACATATTTTCTACGAGAACGTATCAGAGACTTCATAAAAATTACATCGGTCAGTTTACATGCTCCAGACGACTTACGTTACACCTATCCGACCACAACTGTTTATACAATGAGACTCCACAAGGTAAAAATTAACACATAATAAAAAAAAATGTCAAAAAAAAAAAATGGAAGCTTAATAATAAAAAAGAAAAATCGATTATATTCTACGAAAAAAGGTTTGAAACTTACAAATTATTAAATCCAATGCCCATAACTTTCATCCTATACTGTCAAAGTACTGATCCTTTCAAAAAGAGAAAAACCAACAGAGTCCTTTAAAATTACTAAAAATTAGCAATTGTGGTGGTTCGAATGAAACGGTCATACATACATATACTATACTATATGCCTATCCAGACACGAATATTCTGTTACACGTCTATCCGACCACATTGAGTTCTACTATTCAGAACCCCATTTAAATATATATATATAAACTTATATATATATATATATATATATATATATTGACCCGACTCCATCTGAAAAAATAATAATAATGGACTATTCCAAAATTAAGTCATAATAACGTTCATCTAACATGTAAGGAAAAAAATGTAAAAAATGCCCGTTCCCACGGGTTCAATGGAAGCTTTAATAATAAAAAGAAAAAATTATTAAATAATTTCAAAATCTTTTCACTTAGTAGGAGTTAATTAAAACAAAAAAGGTTTGAAACTTACAAATTATTAAATCCAGAGCATAGCACCCGATAACTTCCTTCATCCTTTATAGTATAATGAATCCCATGTCAAAAAGTCTATAGTCAGTCGTTCATCCTTTCACTTTCCTAAAGAGAAAAACAAACAGAACCCGTTTATGTTCAAATGGGCTATTTTTTTGCCGGAAAATGCCCACGTTTAAAAGTCCTTTTAAAAATTAAATTCACCACTGTTATTTCACAGTTGTAGCAATTGTGGTGACATTCGAATGAAACGTTATTTTGAAATACATATATATATATATATATAAAACCGGCTCTCAAACCCGTTTACGAATATTCTAATGGCTCGGTTATAAAAAGGCCTTGTGCCATTACTGAATATTGTCAGAATCTGAACCGACTAATCTTCCCTACGATACGCAATTCATCAGAACCCGTTTATACGGGTTCAATTCAAAAATTTAAAAGAATTTGTGACGTCTGATGGTTCGGTTCAACTCTGGCGGGAGGAACCCGAAGGAGGCTACGTGGACATTGAGTTCTACCTGTATTCTATTCTGTTGGAATTTATATATATATATATATATATATATATTCACCTCCGACCACTAACTCTTTCCTTAATCGATATATATATATATATATACCCGTTTATACGTTCAAATGGGCTATTTTTGGCCGGATTGCCCACGTTAAAAAGGCCTTGTGCCACATTACAGTCGTTCATAATTATAAAAATAATACGACTATTCCATAAAACGGCCCAGAACCCGTTTATAAAATACTGTGCCGAGCCTAATGTCAGAATATCGTCAGTAGTTCAAGTTTTGAACCGACTGCAGGTAGTCAATAGTTCAAGTCGAGTCAAACCCGATTTCAAATCAGAGCCTAATGGCTTGGGAATGCCCACGTTAAAAGGCCTTGTCCCTCGTGGGGGGGACTGAAAACAGAGTCAAGCGTTCAGACAATTACGCGTTCAGACAATTACTGCAAGACATTGAAATATACTGGTCGATACTACATTGTTTTCTCTACTAAATCCTGATTGGTCATACTAACACTTCTACTTCTGTGTATATATTCCTGTTTGTAATATATCTGTGTTATTCCATATCTTTTGTTCGAGTTCTTCTTTATTAGTTCTACCTTGGACTATCACCGTGGTACAAGGAATCGGACGTCTTACCGGTCATAATATATATATATATATATATATATATATATATATATATATATATATATATATATATATATATTGCAGTATATACTGTTGTCCGTTTCTTGATACGATGTATTACAATGCCCAAATTAACAGATAAAGTAATATTTTTTTTATTTTGAATCGCACCTTTAGAAATGTAAAGTATTTTCTTAATTTTCTTTTTTGCAGATAAGATACGAGCAGCTAGACCGAGAATGGAAAATATTTCTTGCCTAAGATAAATAACTTTTATTCGAAGACAATATAGTAATGACAACTTCAACTAGAAACGAACATTTTTGGTATAGAATGCTGGTCAAATCTCAAAGGAGTTCGACAGACAATATTTACTTAAATTTATTGTAATAAATAATGACGGCAAATTCTCATTAAGATGACAGTATGCGTTTCACACATGGGGATATGAAGAGCTTGCTAACAGAACACAGTGACGCTAACAAATATAGATATCTACAAACACAGAAGCAAGAATGTTCGGTATTTTAAGAATTTTAAATCATTTAGAGACATCTTCGATATTTGATGTTGTCTTTTCTCTAAGTATCTGATATTTTAACAACAAGGAAGTCAACAGACTTGGCTATCTGTTAAATGTTATTGTGATGACAATACTGGATTTGGCATTCGATTACTGAATACGATGAAAAAACATCACCAATACGTTTATGCCATTTCAGCGTCTGGTTTTATTAAAATTCAACCTTTTTTTCTCAAATATCTGGTATATAAACTTCATTTGTCGATTATTATATCTAATAAAAGAACGCTACACGAAACCGTTTTTAAATATGTAATGATGAACCAATCAGCAGTAGAAAATGGATAGGAAAATAAAAGTAAGCAGACGATCTAACCATGGCAGCCTTGTTAAGGAAGGAAGTCGATTTGCTGTAAATGTTTTCTGACAGTGACTTACTACTAAAGCATCATCTAAATTCACAGTTTCACATAGCAGTAACTGTTTTAAAATACTAGCCATTTCATTCCGATTCCGTTGCTGTCTGGGAAAGAAACACTGCCTGTGCCAAATTGTTAAGTAACAAGTGCCAAAGGTGATCACGTGATTCTCTTAGGAAATAAAAATGACGACTGGTTGTTAATGGGGAAAACTAATGAAGAAAATATCCCTAAACAAGCATTTCTCTGGCTTTCACTTCATGCGTTCTTTAAGAAAAGCTAACATTTAAAAGGTATTGACTTTTTTTCGTGCATTTTTTTTATTTTTAACTTTATGCGCTTGTAACGAAAGCGCAAACGATGCAATATTTCCTCAACGGTAGATGCTCCAAGTATCTGAACTCATTTTAACCACTAAATCTGAGCGATCTATTTCTATCCATTTCCTTAGAATTTAAACACAATTCAAACCAAAATGAATATCTTTCATATCAATATAAATTCAAGTCACTATAAGAATCTCTCAGACTATCGATTTGATAATTCTATGACACCATTAACAGTCGACTAAATTAAGAATAGCCTGGCAAAAGGCTACGTTAATGAGGAATGGAGTGAATATCTGATTGATATGCACTAGATGACTGGATTAAAAGATGAGTGTCTTAGATTTATGTATGGATTAAACTTCATATAAGATTCGGACAAGGAGATTCAAAATTAAATCTGATATATTTTTTCTTCAAACGGAAATAAACTGAATCTAGAAGAAAGAAAGAAAGAAAGAAAGAAAGAAAGAAAATAGACTAGGTGGAAGGTGAAAGGAATAAGTAAAGAAGAGAAAATGAAAGAAAGAAACTTTCCAATATAGAAAAGGTAAAAAAGAAAATGGACGAGGAAGAAAAAAAGAAAAAAAGAAAAAGATAAGACAGAAAAGAGAGGAGAAAGAAAAATGAATAGAGAAAAAAGAAAATGGGCGAGAAAAAAGGAAAAAAGAAAGAAAGAGAAATCAAAGGAGAATGAAAGGAAAGAAAATAAAATATACTAGAAAATAACTGAGAGAAAAAAACAAAAGTAATAGAAAAGAAAGAAACAAAAAAAATGAACGAGAAAGAAATAAAAACGAATGATCCGAAAAAGAAAGCAAGAAAGAAAGAAAGAAAAGAAAGAAACAAAAAAAAGAAAGAAAGGGCGTAAGATAAAAAGGAAAAATGAAAAAAGAAAAAAGAAATGAAGTGAGAAAGAAGGACAAAGGGAAAAATAAAGAAACCAGAAAGAAAAAAAATAAGAATCTGCAGGAAAAAAACAGAAAAAAGACAATGGATGAGATAGAAAACTTATGCAAAAAGAAAGAATGAAAATAAATGAGAAAGAATGAATGAGAGAAAAAGAAAAAGACAATAACAGAAACAGGGAAACTGAATGAGAAGGGAATTAATAGGAAAGAAATAAAAGACAGAATGAACAAAAGAAAGAAAGAAAGAAAGAAAGAAAGAAAGAAAGAAAGAAAGAAAGAAAGAAAGAAAAGAAAGAAACAAACAAACAAAGAAAGAAAGGAAAGAATGGACGAAATAAAAGTAAGAAAATAAAGGAAGAAAGATACAATAAGAAACAAAATATTGGAAAGAAAGAAAGGAAGAAACAAACTAATAAGGTACGGAATATAAGAAAGAAAGAAAGAAAGAAAGAAAGAAAGAAAGAAAGAAAGAATGGACGTAATAAGGTACGGAATATAAGAAAGAAAGAAAGAAAGAAAGAAAGAAAGAAAGAAAAAGAAACAAACAAAAAAAGAAAAAATGGACGAAATAAAAGAAAGAAAAAAAGAAAATGGACGAAAGAAACTAAAAAAGAAAGAAAGAAAGAAAAAAGAAACAAACAAACAAACAATAAGGTACAAAATATTGGAAAGAAAGAAAGAAAAAAGGAAGAATGGACGTAATAAGGTACTAAATATAAGAAAGAAAGAAAGAAAGAAAGAAAGAAAGAAGGTAAGGAAATGAAGACATGGAGGAAAGAATATATAAGGCACTCAATATAAGAAAGAAAGAAAGAAAGAAAGAAAGAAAGAAAGAAAGAAAGAAAGAAAAAATACAATAAGGTACAAATATTGGAAAGAAAGAAAGAAAGAAAGAAATAAAGAAAGAAAGAAAGAAAGAAAGAAAGAAAAAATACAATAAGGTACAAATATTGAAAAGAAAGAAAGAAAGAAAGAAAGAAAGAAAGAAAGAAAGTGTACGCGATTTAAACGCCTTTTCCTTGAGAAAAGGTGAATTAAACTTCGGCTAGTAATAATGCTCGTCCTAATAATATATTGTAACCCAGGAAATGATGAATAACCAAAAGAAAAACTGGTTGGAAATGAAATGGTAATCTTTATAACATCAACAAAATACAATATTCGCCAGCGACATGAATAGGTAAACCACTGCTAGTGGTAGACAACATATACCCCCACGTACAATAGTGTCCAATGTGTTTATGAGGATTGGGACATACACAATAGTATTCATAGGTAAGGTATATAACAATACTGCAAAATTATTCTCTATTATTCTGTTATATATTAGCTTCTACTGACAGGGCATATATATATATATAAAATAGATTTTGATGTTTGATATATATATATATATATATATATATATATATATATATATATATATATTAATTTTATTTTTTACATAAATTGCTAAAACTTACCACCCCTCCCTTCATATGTAAAACCCATTTACAGCCTCTTTCTCTTTACTCCCCTCTTTTTTCTTTTTCTTTTCTCTCTTCACCCTCCCATTTCACTATATCACTTCCGTTAAGTTAACCGTTTAAATAGGTCAGGCTCTGGTCACTCCTCCTCCCCAAAACTAAATATGATTGAGAGAGATATGAAATTAAACCCTCCCTAAACTCTACCATGTCTCTCTAACCACGCCTTATTACACTCTCTGTTAAATTACAAAAACTTACACAACCCATTAATTTTCATTTCATTTTTCGTTGCATCTTTTGAAAGTGCTATCTGATGATCCGGCGTCCTTTAAAAGGGCTCTGGTGAAATAAATTATTATAATGGAACCTTAAATTGGTCTGTTTTTTCTTTAAAATATAATTTTGTTAAATATTAATTTACAAATTATCACTCATCTTCATGTAACGTGCTCATGACGGGATTTTTCTTCTATGTGCCGTGTCCTTTCATGGTTCTACACTATCTCCTATCTCTTGTCGCCCTAATCAGTTTGTCCTTTGGCCAAACTTGTAGCTACCCACCGTTCCTTCATCCATTCACCCTAGCTCGTTAGAAAGCTGGTCTGTTACATTCCGCAGTCCATCTTGCACTCAAACTTTCCAAACTCTTTAGAAATCTAAACTGTCTTTTTCACATTTTGGGTACAAGTGTCCTTTTCAACGTTCCATTGTATTTTCAGTATCCTTCAGTATAAATACATTACACTTGCTTCCAGTTTCCGATATAAGAGGATTTAATGAGTTTAGTATTCTTTTCCTTGTTTCTCAAGAATGTTTTTATTGTTTCCTAATTCTTTGCTTAGCTTTACGAAGGCGTCTTTCACTATTCCAATGCACATTCGGATTCCGGTATCGCATTTTCCATCCTCTCTTCAAATACTTCTCAGATATTTCGTCAATAAAACTGTTGATGGGAAAGAATACAGAGAAAGTAGATTAAGAGCTATTTTTTATAATGGTGTTCATTTTCTACAAGGCCCGAGAGCCAGTTGGGTATAGTAGGGGGCACATTTTGTGTGGATATGTGAAGAAGCTAACGGCCAAACTTAGATTTGAACAGGTTATGGCTCTAGTGATCAGGAAAGCACTCTCTTGGGAGTTGGTTCCGGAGAGCAGCGGCTCATGTTTGAGGACAGTGGAATAAAAGAAAAACTAGAAGATAGATAGATAGATAGATAGATAGATAGATAGATAGATAGATAGATAGATAGATTATTTTGATTGATTGATAAATAGATAGATAGATTATTTTGATAGATAGATAGATAATGAACAGACTGAGATAGATAGATAGATAGATAGATAGATAGATAGATAGATAGATAGATAGATAGATAGATAGATAGATTTATTTTGATAGTGTTGAAGCTTGGATAAGCATGGAATAATAATAATACAACACAAAATGTACGTAAACAAAATGTATTGATACAAGGAAAAGGTACACAATATTTACAGTTAGTTTTGGTATATTCTTGGGAAGACTGTTCCTGTAGAATGGGTTGACTTAATCGCAGTCGGGCAGAGTCTCTGGATTGGATCTCTTGTTACTTCCCTCGTCTTCCCGGTACCAACCCATATTTATATGGTCGGTACTCCAATATGTAAATTAGGTTGATCGTACCACAACAGATAGATAGATAGATAGATAGATAGATAGATAGATAGATAGATTATTTTGATTGATTGATAAATAGATAGATTATTTTGACAGATAGATAGATAGATAGATAGATAGATAGATAGATAGATAGATTTTGTTTTTGCTCAATGTCCACCGATTTCATTCTTTCTTTTTATGTCCCGTGTCCTTTCAAGACGTAGGCGATCATGGCTCTCCACTTTTCCCTATCCTTTGTGGCTCCCAATAAGTTTCGTTATTCTGCCACCTCCCCCAACCACGTTCTGTCATCCCCTTGTTTATGCCCGCTCTCATGTGTTGCTTTCCCTTGTCACTCTTTCCTTTTGTTCAACCCGTGAGTATCAGATTTTCCAGGCCCTCCTTTCTCATTACGTGTCCCAGAAACTTCAGCTGCCTCTCTCTGATGTTAAATATAAGGCTTCTCCTTGTTTGCATCCGTTGCTGACGCTCCTGATCCATGATATTCTCAGCAGCTTTCTGTAAAACCATATCTCCGTCGCCTTGAGTCTCTTCTTCATCTTAGAGGAGACCGCCTAACATTCTCTGCCGGAAAGGAGGACAGATGTCACGTAACAGCTTAATACATTTTTCTTGGTTACCAAAGAAATCCTCCTGTCTTGCAATACTCTGCCCAGCTTTTGGAATGCGTCTTTGGCTATTTCAACACGTCTACAGATATCAGCGTCGCACTTATCGTCCTCTGTCAAAATACTTCCCAGGTAATTTGCGTACCAGCTTGATTTTAGTTTCCCCGGCCTGCAAATGGCATTTCGGGTCCATTTTTTTACTGATGCATCGAATACGAGGCCCAAAAACCAATCAAGATAGAGGGTTACTGAATGGGGTTGATGCTATGCGCGAAAGAGGGTGAAGATATGCAGGATAGACCTGATATTTGAACAGTTTATGTTTGTAGTGATCTGGGAAGTATCCTCTTGGGAGTTTGTTCCGCAAATAAGGATTTCTCTGGAAGAAGCTTTCTGATTGGAAAATCTTTCTTATCAACGGAATACGAAGGATATGATGATGGTTTACACACTGTCTTTGTATCATGGTGGATTCTAGCTGTAAAAATCTGAAATGGTGGAAGAAAGGAATGTACCTTCTCAGAATATTTGTCATTAAAATTGCAATAGAATAGCGATAGGTCTGCGACAGACAAACAAATTGTTATGATCAGACAGGTTAAATAGCATAAATCTTTACCTAGCCTCAACATGGCTGATGCTAACCTCCAAGGGAGTAACTTCTTGCGCCCTCTCGGTAATTACTTCACTACGCCAAACTGGACAATTATTTTCACCCGAATCTTTCTGGGAGATTAATAAGTCTACCCTTCGTTCTTGCATTGCATTTTGGTGCCACATCTAGACTGGTTATTGTACTATGTCCCTTGAGATTCTTGAGAAAATCCAAAGAAGATTTTACGATGTTATCTGTCTTGAACATCACAGGTTCGATCCCTTTCTCAAAGCTGAATGTCGCTTCCCTGTGCATTTCTTAATGAATATTTTCAGAGCAGTTGTTTCGATGGGCTTTGGCTTTCTTGAATTTAAATGCAGTGCCAGACTTACAGATAAGTGTTATCATATTATTACTGAAATTGCTAAATATTAAAATAATTTCTTCTCTTGCACTTTACGTTTGGGAAAACTTTCGTCAGGTTTTTTTTATTTTTTATTTCCTGTTAACTACGATCTTCAAAAATTTAAATGCAACGTCAATCGCCATTTCCTGTTTCCTTGAATCCTTTTCCTTTATTATCCTCTCTCCACAATAACGTTTTCTCAATCTCTTTCACAGTCAGCAAACTCCATGCGTCTCAGTGGCTTTATCGCCCGGCTCAGTGTGAAATGATTTTTTTTTAAATCTCCTTTCAGGTTGTAAGCGATAATAGCACTCCACAGATATATACGTGAATATCCATGATTTCTTGGAAAAGATATTGAAATATATTCTGGTTGCTTTCTTCAAGAATCTCATTTCAGAGATGTCCATCTCTAAGCCGAGCTATTATCTAAGGCTAGAAAGCCCAGTCTACACTGCTATTTAACCAATAGCTGTAGATACGCAACGAAATTAGAGGCATCTGAAAAATATATTATCTTTCATGGAATGGTTTTATTTAAAGATTTTCTTTTGATGATTGAAAAATATTAAGCGTAAAAGAACTGTGTCGTATTTGATGCTACCTGCCTTACCCATAATTGCAATAAATGGTGAGAAAAAACAGGGAATTGTGGGTAGAAAAGTAGAAGAGGCAGTGAGAAATTAATTTATGAAGAGGCTTCACGGACGAACGAACGAACAAACGAAGCACAACACAGGAAAACAAGAAGTGTTGGGAAAATAAAAACAAATTGTTTTGCTCACGAAAACAGCAATAAGAACGGCACAAGACTATAAATAGCGGGTTATTAAGGGAGAGAAAACATTACAATAGGAAGAGTATGCTATTTACATTATTCGGACTATTGTCCTCATCTTTGCCGCCATATTTATTACAATGTTTCGGCCGATGTATGCTCCGGGCTTCTTCAGGTGGCTGGAATGTCGAACTGAACCCTTTATTTTATTTTCTAGCTCCACGTGCCATGTATAATGGATGTCAGTTATCAATTATCTCCTGTTAATTCCCCTCTCCAAGTTCTCCACTGCCTTAACCGGGTATTGAACTCACACTCTTTGGGTTCTGTCACTGGAACTAGAACAGTCTACCCCAGTGAGCGAAATAAAGGGTTCAGTTCAACATTCCAACCACCTGAAGAAAGCCGGGGCGTTGTAATAAATATGGTGACAAAGATGAGGATAATAGACCGAATAATGTAAATAGTGTACATAATACCTCATCTCAGAAATATAGACAGATACTGAAGGAACAACGTTCTAATAAATATGGCGACAAAGATGAGGACAATAGTCCGAATAATGTAAATAGTGTACATAATACCTCATCTCAGAAATATAGACAGATACTGAAAGGCCGAAACGCTGTAATAAATATGGCGACAAAGATGAGGATAATAGACCGAATAATGTAAATAGTGTACAGCATACCTCATCTCAGAAATATAGACAGATACTGAAGGGACAACGTTGTAATAAATATGGCGACAAAGATGAGGACAATAGTCCGAATGATGTAAAAAGTGTACATAATACCTCATCTCAGAAATATAGACAGATACTGAAGGGCCGAAACGTTGTAATAAATATGGCGACAAAGATGAGGACAATAGTCCTAATAATGTAAATAGTATACATAATACCTCATTTCAGAAATATAGACAGTGTAGGAAGAGTATGTCTCAAATGTTCATCATTGATCTAGAGAAGCCATTTTGGACTTTTTATTCTTGGTAATGAGGTTGAAAGAAGTAAAATATAAAAGAAGACACAGTCGCCACTTGAGGCAGATTTTCCAATTGACGTGGCTTAAGAATTTTACTCATTGTCCATTTTTTTTTCCAGGTTCGAACCAGCACATTACCAGAGTCGCCCTGGCTATTTGGTGTTTTCTCAAGTCACGATCTCTCGGCGCGTTGCCAAACAAGACTAGAGTGTCCATGGGAATTTAGGCAGTTGCTGAAAAAGAAGAGATGGATACTTACTTTTCTCGTGGGTGTTTGCGCGAAAGTGAATTGAAAGAACTCGGGAAGACTTCTCTTCTCGAACCGTTACGCTACGCACACATCACTAATACTACTACTATTACTACTACTACTACTAATAATAATAATAATTATTATTATTATTATAACAGCAACAACAACGACGAACAGGTTTTCATAATTTTAAAAGAAACTGGTATCGCTGAAATATACTCAAATATTGACAGATGTTCGAGTTAAGTTTTCGACAAACGGAAATATCAGTTTCTGAAAAGGTTATATGGTTTCTTGCCTACTCATACCTATTTATGACTTCATATATATATATATATATATATATATATATATATATATATTTATAGTTTTAAGGTATACTATACTTATAGAATAAAGTGCTCAATATCAGAGATAGAGCGTATACAAATATAAATATGAAAGTGAACACTGAGAGGCGATAGACTGTTTCATGCTAAACGAGGCCTGATGATTGCGTTTAGCATGCAACAGTCTGTCGCCTCAGAGTGTTGATTTCTACGTGCATTTACACACACACGCACACGCACACACACACACATATATATATATATGTATATATGTGAAAAGTGTATATAAATATAAATAAATATATATATGTATAATTATTTATATATTATATGCGCGTACTTATTAGAAAGCGCTCAATATCAGAGATAGAGCTAACATATTTGGTATATATATATATATATATATATATATATATATATATATATATATATATATATATTTCTGTATTTAAACGGCATATGTTCTTTGCGTCAAATAATATTAAAAACACATACATTTTATTGATCGTCTAATCGAAATTACGAATAATCCTTTTCAGATAAGTAGGAAATTCCATGAGAAATTGTCCGAAGTTCATTTCGGAAGAAAAGTACAAGAAATATGGTCCAAATTTTCGACGTTTTTTTAAAGTCATTTATTTGCTCAAACCGATTTTAAACAATTGATAAGGTTGTATGCGGCTAACAGTTTAGATATTTCTGAACGATTTCGGCGCCATGTGTCATCCGTAACAGAGTTTCCTTCTGACGAGGCTATGTAGAAATAAATAAGTTTGAAATTGGATTATTTATACTTTTAAGGGACCTCGGATTTCTATGTGTTTAATTAACGCTATGAGAGCACATATAAAAATAACCTGCTCTTAAATCATTATAATGTAAAATATACATAGAACCTAAGATGAAACAAAAAGTAAAAGAAGTATATTAGCATCCTGATCTACACTACTTTTTAATGAAATAACACGTTATAATAACACCAATTATATTTGCCTATTAGCATCGAATAGGATCCTATGTAATAATGAATAATAGTATTGCAAAAAAGAACAGCTTCTACGACTATTTCACACACACACGTATAAATGTGTGTGCGTGCGTCTGTGTATGTGTATCAGTCATAAAAGCTTTTCTTCCTTTTTTGCAAAGCCATTATTCATTATATATAATGAAAGTGGAGTCCTTAGAAACCCTTAGAAATCCATTGGTAATAATTTATTTCGTTGAATCAGATGCGCACCTCTTCAGACCAAAAATTATTTTGATCTGAAGAGTTGAGCGTCTGATCCCACGAAATAAATTATTACCAATGGATTCTGAAAAATTGCGCTATTCTTTGGATTTATATCCGCTTTGGAATAATATCCTCTTTGGAATTATCCTACCAATTATCAAATAATATTATATATATATATATATATATATATATATATATATATATATATATATATATATATATATAACCAAATATGTTAGATATCTGATATTGAGCGCTTTCTAACCCTGGTTAATATATAAATTTTATATATATATATTTATTTATATTTATACACACACTTTTCACACACACTTTTCACACACACACACACACACACACACACACACACACACACACACACACACACATATATATATATATATATATATATATATATATATAAAAACAGAGAAAATTCTGATGGGCTTTATTAACTGATATAATTTATTTTACTACGATTATTTATAAACAAAAAGTAAAAATGTCATTAGTTGTTCAATTTTTTAAATTTAAGATCGCTCATGAATATATACATAAAACTAAGTAAATAAATAATTAAATATATATACAGAAACGCATCGGCTAAGTTTTCCTTTCGTCTTTATTTATATTGTCCTTTTTATATATCCATTATCACACACACACACATATAAACACACACACATACATATATATATATATATATATATATATATATATATATATATATATATATATATATATACACTCGACTCTCCCGTCTGAGGATCAAGCAGATCAGTTCCTTGGAAACAGCACATGAGATTTGATTATAGTGGTGAAGTTTTCGTGCAGGACCATCTACACTTTTGAAGGGTCGAATACAGAGACCTGGTGCACTAAATGCCACAAGGTACCCAAACGACTCTCCGCAGGTTTTGAATTCAGAGTTGTCCTTTTCCTAGACCAGTTGCCATTCATGGCTATAGAACCCAGTCTGTCCTGCTATTTACCCATAGCTGGAGGGAGAAGAAGAGGATTCACACCTTTCCCAAGGGTATTAGCAGGAAAGTGAATGTAATGGATTCGACTGGAATTCGAACTTGGATCTCCGATTCCTCAATCCAAGCCGCTATCCATTACCCAACCGTGCCTATATGAGATAAAATTATATATATTTTTTTTTTACATATCAATCGTGTTTCTGGTCTCGCGACCGTCTTCAGGTAAAAGCGGAGATTTCCACATATTATTAAAAATAATTAATTTTTTCCTTATGTTCAATGTTAAATATTCTCGATATGAGACATTCTCTGTTTGTATGTTGGTAATCCGAATTTCTTTCGGAAATTCGGATTACCAACACACAAACATTGAACATAAGGAAAAAGTAATTATTTTTGATATGTGGAAATCTCCGCTTTTACCTGAAGACGGTCGCGAGACCAGAAACACGTGTCGTAAAATTATGCAAAACAAAGCATAATATTTTTTTCTAAAAAGACCACATTACAACCAAAAACGTTTGCGGTACCTCTCTTCTCTTCTTTTTTAATATACATACTTTTCTCTCGTTGGAACCACTACAACATATTTCTTTTTTATATAAATAAATAAATAAATATATATATATATATATATATATATATATATATATATATATATAGGGAAAAATCTTTAAAATCTATTGGCAAAATAAATTTATTTCGATGAATATAAGCATATTCATCTCATCAGATGAACTACATTTTATTATATGGTGTCAATATGTCTCAGACAAAAAGAATAGATGATGAAATAAAAACAAAACTAAATTGATCTAGAAGAGTTTTCTTTGGGGGCTTAGATTATGAAAAGAGAACAGAAAAAGATTTGATATAACGGGTAAGGGGAGGAAAAGAAATAGAAAGGTTAAATTTAAAACAGATTTGCAACAATGTGTCAAATAAAGCTCACAAAGGGGAGGGGTTAAAATGATGTCTGGTTACACAGCATCATCATCAGCATCATATAATCATCATCACATAATACTAATGATAATAATAAAAATACATATGCTTATAAGAAAAATATATATTAAAACATGAATATATATATAGATATATATATATCCATATATATATATATATATATATATATATATTATATATACATATTTAGATAACAAATAATATAACAATTATTAATAAAGAATAACCATGATAATAACAAAACTTAAAATAATGATAATAATAAATAATAAATGAAATATAAAAAAATTATATAGATAAATATATATATAGATAGATAGATAGATAGATAGATAGATAGATAGATAGATAAAAAAATGTCTTAAGAGTCCTATTTGGAATAATCGCTATCAATTACAATTTGGTATTATATATATATATATATATATATATATATATATATATACAGAGAGAGAGAGAGAGAGAGAGATAGATAGATAGATAGATAAAAAAAAATGTCTTAAGAGTCCTATTTGGAATATTCGCTATCAATTACAATTTGGTATTATATATATATATATATATATATATATATATATATATATAGAGAGAGAGAGAGAGAGAGATAGATAGATAGATAGATAAAAAATGTCTTAAGAGTCCTATTTGTAATAATCGCTATCAATTACAATTTGGTATTATATATATATATATATATATATATATATATATATATATATATATATATATATATATATATATATATATATATATATATATGTATGTGTGTGTGTGTGTGTGGGTGGGTGTGTGGGTGTGATCATCTTCAGGGGTGCAAGTGGTACAACACTATATACCTGCAAAGGAACAGTTTTTCATGCTTTAA